CACCGGACTTAGGGCCCACGGACCGTCTTCTTCCCGAGGACTAGCGAGGGACACACACGCTGGTAGTGTCCATGTCCGCCGCATCCATTGCAGCGGACCAAGCTCTCGGCTGAGCTTAAGTCCATGGGTTCGGGCTCGCTGTACGCACCGGTACCAACGGGCTGCGTGACAGCAGGAGCAACGGCGTCATTGCTGCGATGCTCCGCCTCCCGAGGAACGCCATTCTCATCGTGGCGATGTTCCTCTTCCCGAGGAGTACCAGCCTGCTTGTGGCTGTACTCTTCTTGAAGGGCGATTCGAATCGCCTCCTCCATAGTTGTCGCTTGCACCCGGAATAGCTGGGTGCGAGCAGGACCGACCTTCAGGCCGTCCATGAAGACTGTTGTCTTGACGTCTTCAGGCAGAGGATTCCCTGCCAGAGATGCCACCAACGTGCGCATCTCTTGCGCGTACTCCTGCAGCTCACGTTTACCTTGCTTACACGCGAGAAAGCGTGAGCGCTGGCAGAACACATTGTTCGCCGGTAGGAACGCGGCTCGAAGCTGCTCACACAGCTGAGCCCAGGATGCAAAGCATCCAGGAGATGTCGTCTCCCTGGTGTATGCCCAGTGCTTGGCACGTCCACCAAGGTTGGACAGGGCAAACGCCACCCGAGCTGGCTCGTCCGAGATGAGACCCGCCTTCATGGCTATCTCCACCTCACGGACCCAGAAGTGAAGGTTCTCTCCTTCCTCCCCCTCAAACGCGGGGACCTTCAGCCATACCGGCTTAGGTCTGGTTGCCTGAAGAGCGGCCATCGAGGCCTCCAAGCTCCCGCGGACGTGAGCGATAAGACCACGCTCGTAGGTCTCAAACGCAGTCACACGTTCTTGTTGCTCGGCAGGCGTCGCCGCCGCCAAGCTGCGAAGGCCATCTTGCCCAACGATGCCTCCCATCTTCCGAACAGACTCGTACTGTGAGTCGTTCAAGCAAGGAAACTCGCTTCGGTCCATCTTGGCTTCAACGTTGAGCGCACAGAGGATTCAGGTAGTTCAATCTACCCGCGATGGTGCTGGATTGACTACGAGTGCTACCAAGCGTGACGGGGTCACACAGCACCTTGCACAGAGGAAGTGCTTAGGGGTATTAACTACCCAAGTGAACGTTAGTCCACGTGTTCCCGTCCTCAAAGGGAGCGGTTTGCTACTTAGAAGAGTAGATTTAAGACTGATGTATTTATAAGTAAGATAAGCTTGGGTCTCATACAAACTAGAGGTTACCTATAGTGGAGCTAAGTAGTCATGCACTGACTGGTTCCGAGAGCACCTGGTATCGTGTACCAGGTGTCCACAAGAGTGACGGGTCACTCTTTATGTAACATGGGGCACACTGGATTGTACCCCGTTACATCCTCCCGCACTTAACTGAGAATCACCTGGTTCTCCAATCACAACTGATTCTCCAATCAGAAAGGAGAGAATTAAAACACCAAAAGGTGAATTCTCACACTGAGCAGCCACGAGACTGGCGCGGCTCTCAGTCACACCCACAGTAACCTGTGCTGCCAAAGCTCACTGGGATTTGCATCCTTATGCTCACAACTGTGTTGGCCGCAAAGCCTACACTCAGAGCTGCCTTAGCTCCTGCGCTACCGCGCGTACAGTGCTTTGGTACAGGGTGCAATAGCATCCGAACGTGTGGCATTCGCCCACAGCTCGCACCAGAGGACACGACAGTCCTCGCGAACGCGTCCGGAGCATGGTGTCTCCCGCGAGGGACGACACCGAGAAGGGCAACACCTTCCCCAGCACTAGAGGGAGCTCTCAGCTCACCTCGGGCCATGCCTTTGGCTCCAGCAAGGATCCATCCTTGCGGGCGGAGCTTCTGCCACGCTCTCTTCGCGTCTTGGTCACCATACCAACGGCGCGTAGGTGTCTTTCATCGACACCATGTACCGTGACGGTACACAACCGTGGTGTAGGTGTCTCTCAACGGAACCATGTACCGTACGCTACTAACCTTTGCTGAGGTACGCCCACCACAAGGCTGCCATGTTTGGCGGCAACAGCTTCTGCTGTGCTGTCGCCTGAACAAATTCATGGGCAGTGCTCACATCATGCACGACGCATGTGCAAGCACAGTGTACAGGTCCATGGGCCCGTACACGAGGTACGCTGTATACGTCACGTACCACAGCTACCATAAGTGCTCCGTGCACGTCATGTGTGCCATGCACGACGAGTTCATTACGTGGAACTCCTGGCAGGCTGCTCGACAGCAGTCAGTGCCGATGCACGGTACGTGCGTTTGACTCACAGCGTATACGCTCAGCGCGCATCGGGTCGTGGTGTGGTGCAAATCCTTTGCACCTATACCAGTGTCTGTCACAGACACCATGTACCTTGATGGTACTCCACCGTGGTGGGGCATATCTTACCACCATGCCACTGCGGCGTTGGTGTCTGGCATTGACACCGAGTACGCACGGGTACCAACCCATGGTGAGGCAAGCTGCCATCACCACGGTGTCATGCTCGGCGCGGCACCAGTTACGACCGCGTGCCTTGCCTCGACCACCACCTGGTCTCAGTTGTGTGTGCACTCGTGCACCACACTTGGGTTATGGCTCCACGGCCCATTATACCCGGAGCGTTGCTTATAGCACGTACCGCAACCGCTTTGTCGGCGGGTGAGACGCTCCGTTCACCCTACTTGACAGGTCGTTCATGACCAAGGGACCAGTGCGTTGATTGCACTAGGGCCGCGCTTCGCCTCGTGTGTGGTTGCTTGCCACCCCAACACTGCTGATTTGCTCAGCGATTCCGAGGCACCTTGCGCCAGTGGCCTTTCTTCGTCACTATGACCTGTTCGGCTAGGGCTACCACAGCTCTAGCCCGGCTGTTCGCCTCCCAGCCCTGCGGTCGATGTACATCGACGCCTGGTTCCGTAAGGAACTTGGTCTTACCTCAAGACCAGGGAGGAAAGGTATTTCCGAGCCTCCCCCCCCCCACTTACACTTGAGACTATTGAGTCTCTCGTGGCTTGTGATAGCCACTGGCAAGTGTGACGGCTCTCCGTCCTGTGCACTGCGTCGGTATGGACGACCGCGTCGGCCGTGTCGACCGAAGGCACCCAGCCTTCGCGTCAGCAGTTTGAATCCGCGCGACTTGACGTCGAGCGAGTTGCTCACGTCTGGCGAGGCCAAGACAACCTCGCGCCTCGAGCCAATGGCTCTGTGTGCGGAGCTATGTTACCCACCTTGGTTGTGTGGAGCTCTGTTACCCACACCGGAAGCGCATACAGCGACTTCCTTATCAGTTATGGTCTGAGTGACCTTGCGTGGAACTTTGTTACCCACGCTCGGAGTACCGAATGTCGGTCTCCTTAAGCAGCTTCGCTGCTTGCGGAACTTGTTACCCGCAATGTGGACCTATGTTACCCACCTGGTGAATGCCCTTCGGCACCACCACTGTCGAAGCGCATACGGCGCGACGACCTTCGGTGTTGGGATCAGCTGACGTGGCAGACCCGCACACATCGGACAGAGTTGGTGTCCACCGACCGAGTCAGAGACGTCCGGGTCCTGGACTCCAAGTTACTTGAAGCGACGTCGGCCTGAACAAGGTTCAGACCCGACTTGCGGCGGCTGACGTGACGTGGCACTTTGTTACCCACGTCGTGATGTCTCATTGACGACATCAGAGGCACTCGAGACCTCGTGTGGCACTGTGTTACCCACACAGGAAGCATGGACAATGCCTTCCTCTTCAGTTATAGTCTGGGTGACTGCGTGTGGTACTGTGTTACCCACACAGGAAGCGCATTCAGCGCCTTCCTCTTCAGTTATAGTCTGGGCGACTGCGTGTGGTACTGTGTTATCCACACAGGAAGCGCATTCAGCGCCTTCCTCTTCAGTTAAGGTCTGGGCGACCGTGTGGTCCTAAGTTAGCCATCTGGTTAGCGCTTAAACGCATAACCACTGTCGAAGCCCGTACGGCGCAACGACCTTCGGCGTTGGACGCTGCTGGTGTAGCAGTGCTGACAAGTGTGACGGGGTCACACAGCACCTTGCACAGAGGAAGTGCTTAAGGGTATTAACTACCCAAGTAAACGTTAGTCCACGTGTTCCCGGCCTCAAAGGGAACGGTTTGCTACTTAGAAGAATAGATTTAAGACTGATGTATTTATAAGTAAAATAAGCTTGGGTCTCATACAAACTACAGGTTACCTATAGTGGAGCTAAGTAATCATGCACTGACTGGTTCCGAGAGCACCTGGTATCGTGTACCAGGTGTCCACAAGAGTGTCGGGTCACTCTTTATGCAACATGGGGCCCACTGGATTGTACCGCGTTACAGCAACGCATACATAGCCAATAATAGACTGAAGTGAGCACCTTCACATAGTCCACATTGAAGAAAGTGTAGATGGTCTAAGTGTACAGCCAGCATCCACAGTCTGGAGATTCATGCTTCTTGTCGGCAATTTCTCTTTTCGGTAAAGACATACTCTAAATGCGTAATTGCGCGAGTTGGCTATTTGACCTGAATGAACACAGAATTTCGCGCACGATCTAGCCATCTCGTTTATCCCACATCTGATGCTTTCGGTGATGTCTACTGGCAATCGGACTGGCGACGAAAGCATTACCGCCTCTTAATCAGAATAAAGAACACGGTGTGGTCAGGCTGAGTAGCTATTGATAGAAGCACCCTTTTAAAGAGTTGCAGACTACGTGCAAGAAGAGGACCGTATGGAATCGGATCAGAGCACTTTAGCTGATAACACGATTCGCGGCTCGAACTACCTGTTATTGAGCCTTGCCCTCTGTTCCACGACGTTTTTTGGTTATCACGCGCTGACTTTCTGTGGTGCAGCTAGGGGGACGACACGGTGCAGCCAATGACTAGCATATGCAAAAAAGGGAGTGTCTAATGCGAAGAAACACTGACAAACATTCGCCACCCCGGCAACAAGGACAAGAGCAGTGGCGAGAGAGGTCACACGAAATGGAGTACGTATGTCAGCGGTGGGATTCGAACCCACAAGCGCGAGCACGGTAGAACCTGAGTCCACCCCCTTAGACCGCTCGTGTACGGGGTACAATCCAGTGTGCCCCATGTTATTAGACATAAAGAGTGACCCGGCACTCTTGTGGTGTGACGGGGTTCACAGCACCTTGCACAGAGGAAGTGCTTAAGGGTATTAACTACCCGAGTGAACGTAAGTCCACGTGTTCCCGGCCTCAGTGGGAACGGTTTGCTACTTTGAGGAGTAGATTTAAGACTGATGTATTTATAAGTAAGATAAGCTTGGGTCTCATTCATACTGGAGGCTACCTATAGTGGAGCTAAGTAGTCATGCACTGACTGGCTCCGAGAGCACCTGGTATCGTGTACCAGGTGTCCACAAGAGTGACGGGTCACTCTTTATGTAACATGGGGCACACTGGATTGTACCCCGTTACATCCTCCCGCACTTAGCTGAGAATCACCTGGTTCTCCAATCACAACTGATTCTCCAATCAGAAGTGAGAGAATTAAAACACCAAAAGGTGAATTCTCACACTAGGCAGCCACGAGACTGGCGCGGCTCTCAGTCACACCCACAGTGA